GACCGGTTCCACGTAGTGATACAAAAAGATGTCGACCGTCGGCCGCTGTTCCTTGACAATAGGCGGCTCGAAGTCGTTCGTGCACCGCGCACCACCACGAGTCAGACGCCACATACTGAAGTCGGACAGCAGTCCCAAAAACAAAGTGAGATGCTCGCTGAAAACCATCACGGCGTACATGGACCCACGACATAAACGGCACGTTCCGGATACAGTATCCATAGCCCGAGTCTGCGTCAAAATGGACCCTTCGAGCTGAAACGCCCGTCCGTCTCACTAGCTGGCAACGTGCGTGTCGCACGGTAGCGTCGGCCGCGCCTGGTCACAAAAGTACTGCTGCAGGTACATCGTCGTCAAGTAGTGCAGCCAAACAACACCCGTAGCCGCCATGCCAAAGCACAACGCGCAAAACAGGTCACTGCCCAACTTCTTGTACTTGCACACGTCTGGAGTCTCAACAGGCTCCGCCGCTCGGTTCGCAATCGAGTACGTCGACGTGGCGACCGACCGAAACGACGGCTCGTGGTAGTTGCGGACCCCTGCAATCGAGTCGCAGTGTTCCCCATCTGCCGTCCAGGCCGTGCATGCCACAGTCCATCAAGAGGACACGGCGGCCACTGCCCTTCATGCTCGCACCGCCTTCTTCGCGTGCTTCGGGTCCACAAACGCCGTTGTGCTGAGGCACGTGCGACGTACCACTTGCTGCCACTGCTCCGACGATTGGCTCTTGCTGTGCATCGCACTTGACAGTATCTTCTCCTGCGACATGCGGCTCACGTCCGTGTTCGCGTCTCGTGACGGCGTCGCTTCGCCGCCTTCCGTGCAAACGCAGTGCCACTGGCCACCGTCGCAATGCACTTCTCACACACACGAACGTCTGCGCGCCCGCGGCCTTTCCCCGAAGCGCCGCCGGGCCGTCGTGAGGGATCGACTGGTAGGCCGCGTCCGACCGGACAGCGCTCGAGGCCGTGCGCCGCGCAACGCCGTCGGCCGCCAATGAGCCGCCGCAAGTGGCCGAGAGGACGACGCACTGCATACGGTAAACGGCGCTCGAGCAGACGGCAGTGGGGCGGGAGAGACCCCACGAGGAGCGCCCGCAGAGCGCCCGCGCCGCCGTCTGCTGCGAAGGCGACCGACCGCTCGTTCGCGTCGGTCGGCCGCGTGAAAACGCGCGCGAACGAGCGCAGCGACACATCCCGTCCTGTGATTCGACGAAAAGAAGCACACAAACGCACCAATCACAGCGCTTCGAAACACAAGCGCGCTCTTCGTACCACTGTCCGCCGTCTCTGTTCACGTGGCTGTGTCGACTTTGCAAACATAAAACGAGTCGATCGTCTGCGATGCTCCTGAACAAACACTTGTGCGACTTCAAAGCTTTGGTCGATCGTTCCCAGTCAACGATCAAAGGGCTCAAACTGCACGTCGGTCCGTTAAGACACTGCGTCCTTTTCGGCTCTTTACTATCCGCAGGTGGCGCTCCGCCACGTTCGCTTCAGCATTCCTTGACCTTTTCTCGTTCGGGTTCGTCTCCTTAAACACGGCCTCGGAGTTGTTGGCGCTGCTGCAATGCTGCAAACTCTGCTAGACAATAACGCAACCTGTTCTTGTCGCTCCACAACAAGTCGACTCGCGCATCAATGCTCGTTCGCCGATCGCTGGACGGATGCTCGAAAGGTGAAAGGGCACACCCGAGCGCGAACATCTTCACAGCGGTCGGTTCGAAGAACAACTTGCAGCATGTAAAACAGGTCATCAACGGCGTCACACCCGACTTCTATGCACACGCCGCTATGGACACTGCTTTGTGCCTCGCACGTACCTCCATGCATCAAATGCAGCGCAAACATCGCCACTGTCCTTTCAAACAGCCCTCAGCCACAGCACACCCGTGTGGCAATCGCAGCCTGGACAATTGGCCAGCACGTATCACGTGGTTGTCCTCCTGTATGCCATCCAACTCTGTTGTTTCTCCATGAGGATCGATGCTCTCGATCGTGTCACTGTCTTCATCCTAGTCACCTTCATCGTCTCCATCTTCTTCGACGTTTGATCTTCCCGCAATCGCTGGCCACTTGTTTGGAGCCATTTGCGCCACCTCGTCGAACTTGCACTCGAAAGCGTCTGGTCGCATCCGAGCTGCCTCATTCGTCCTGCACCTTGCACCAACTTGTCCTTCGTGAGTTTTGGTGCAAATGTTATACCAGCGGATACATCGTGTAGTGGCTTCATGTCTGACCCTCGCGAGAGCGCTTCGTCAAAACTGGCATACGTATCCTTCTCTAGCAGCCAAGACTTTTCCACGGACAACGTTGTCCTCCGAGCCTCCTCTGCCATCATCCAGCAGCTGCGCTCTTTTCGGCCTTCAAAGTACATCGCGACAGCAACTACAAAGCCGGGCTGCTTGAGAAAACGATCCGCTGCTCCGTTATTTGCCGCACCGCTGGAAACGCACCAGTGTCGATCAGACGCTGTGCGTTCTTGTCCGTGGCGAACAACACCATCTTCTGCCATGGTATTGGTCCGCGGATCGGTCGGACCGGGAACAATCACCTCCTAGCTGTGCGTCACTTGCATGATCTTGTCATCTTATTAGTCACCGAAGAGGAAGGCAGAATGTACGAAATGGAGAGATTGCGGTTTTCGAGCGCGGCGGTCAAGAATTTCGTCGCATAATATGGAAATGAACATGTGACGCAGGAAGATCATCCTGTCGGTGTTGTACCCGCTTTCGAGTCCTCAAATTCAATGTGGTGCTGAGAGCTGTCTTGAGCTTATTGCTTTACATTTGTTTCGATCGTGTCGTAAACAACAATGGCAATCGTATCATTGCGCCTTATTCTTCAGCATCCGATGGCGAGAGTGCTTGTTATCTTTGTCGCGAACGAGCGTCGTACAAATATTGTTGCTCAGTGAGCTAGTAGACTCAAAGTGTGATCAACAACATCGCCGGGATGTTGCTGTCGGTCTCAAATTGCGATGTGTGCACTACTTTCTATGCTCGGTGTTAGCTCGTACTCCCTCTTTTGACTACCTCCGTTCATCTGTCCTTGATCAAGCAGTGCGTCGTGGTCTTGTCATCACTCGCGATCTGTGTTATATACTCTTTAGTAGCGACGCTTGCAGATCAATGCATTCTTCACATCTACTTCGTATGGTCTCTGAAGCCCTCGAAAGGACTCCATCTCTTCTTGACTCTGCAATTGACAAACTGACACTACCGTATATTAACTTTGCTGCTGTTGCGTCTCCTTCTACCGCACCATGTGAACGTCTAGCTTCTGGCAGGTACTGCATTGGGATGCCATATCGCGCATCAGGTCACATTCACTTACGACGACCACTTCTTCCCTTTACGTACACGCTCCATTGAGTACGTACGTACTCGATGTCACAACTACCTAACATTCGCGATCTCACACGATGTAGGCATACAAACTATACCCAAAGGTTGGAAGAGCTTGCCAGCTCTTGCTGAATGAATCCACTCTCATTCTTTCGCTCTCCTTCATTCTATCAGCTAATCATTAAGATCGAGGCTTTCTCGCGTCTCAACGTCATTTTGGAACGAGTCAAAAGTGGACGCCAGATCGGATGACTGCTCGGGCGACAATGTCGATCTTTTATCGACAAAGCCGTCGGTATAGTGGAGACTTACAGCAATCCACGTCTTTCTTTATCAGGCCGAAACGATGAACATACCACTCGCCTTTCACTAGGTGTACCTCCATTGTCCGTACACATGGTGCTTGTAGAAATTCTAGATCCATGACTCAGCTTCGTTTGTCATGTTGCTGAATATCGAGTCTCTTCTATCTGGTATCCTACAACATTGTCTATCGCCAACCGTTGCAGAGTTCGTCTATGCACATGTCGTAGCGAGCAAAATCCAAGCACCCGGACATCTACTTGTTCTTGGCCGCTTGCGCCTTTTGTGCTCGCTCATCAGCTTCTCCTGCATGTCACGCATGACAATGCCATGTGTCTTGTACTCCATCGTGAACTCGCCCTTGCCCTGAGTGGATGACCGCAAATCCGTCGAGAAACCAAACATGTTTTGCAGGGGTACGTCGCACTTAATGACCGTGTGCATGTCATCGGCATCGCTGCTGTTAATGAGACCGCGACGACGGTTCACCTCGGCAATGGCCGTACCTTGGAACTCGCTAATTACTTCCACCTCCACCGCAATGACGGGCTCGACCCCAGATAACCCACACCACCGCTTCTCGTCACCTGCACTCGGCATGCATCGCATCCTGTGTCTCCTTCTGCTCCTCGTCGGCCAAACACCATCCGCGTCTTCGCGACACAATCCGGTTCGTCCGGTTTGTCGCCGCCGCCGGGTCATTCGTGCCTGCTACGATGCCTTGGGCCACCTGGAGATTGCCCGCGTAGTAGACTTGCCATAGCTGCACGAAGACCACACTGTCAACCACGAGCAAAAGAGCCAAACGCGTTCGCCGTAAGGTGGCAGCAGTATGGTCCCAGCCGCTGTACTCGGGAATACTCATCTTGACCATGAGGTACAACTGGCGCATGACGAAAAAGCCAAACAATATGGCAGACACGTAGTTCCACGAATTCGTCGCGTTCTCGTGCTCTAGACACGAACGAGTGCCACGAGCTGACTGACCAGCAGCGTGAAGAAGAAAAGCACGTTCGCGATTTCGTCCACGACGTCTTCTGACCTGCACCCGTATTTGCCCATGACTTGTGCTTCCCCGTCACGCGCGCCTGAATGGCCTCAAAACTGCCAGCATCGGGATGAACGACAACGAAGACCATGCCTGCCTGCGCACGCTTCTTGTAGTTGTTGTCGACTGCGCGGTTGGCCAGCAGGGTCAGCACCCAACGGCAGAACGCCACGAGCTAGAGGGTGTACACGGCAGGTTAAACACTCAACGGCAGAACGGCACGGGCAAGAAAGAGTACAGGGTATTCGTTACACGAGCGTAGATCGGCGCGTCTCCCATGCACAAGTAGTAGACGGCGATCGCCACGTAGCACAGGGCAGGCACACCGTACCATACGGGTACAGCACCGAGTCGTAGAAGAACATATTGCGCGGGAACGCAAGAGATGGCTTCGGGTCCGGGGCAGGCACGCGCGGCGGACGCCAGTCCGGGTCGACTTCGCTCTCATTTTGCATCAGCAGAATCTGCACAGCTCCCTTTGTCCAACGCTTCTTCCAGTCGATAGCAGCAGCTACTGTCTCAGAAACAGCACCTTCGCACAATCGACTACTGTCCTTGGCATCGCCCTCGAAATCCGTGCTGTAGGCACACCGAGTCCCAACCAGAAGTGCGGACCACATTACTCGTGAACGCATCATCAGTCTGAGTACCGCACCGTACTGACTGCCACCAATCGAGTCAAAGGCTTGGCGACGGAACACAGCATTCGACCAACAAAAGCTGCCGGGTCGAAACCATAACGACCACGCTGCACACAGCGTCAAAGACGAATGGCGTTCTTGTGCTCGCACCGGTCACCCATGATCGCCAACTGAGGCATGCCCTCAAAGTGCTGAGTAGTCTGCACGAAAGCCACTTGAGTCCACGAAATATCGTCGCTGTACTGACGTCGTCCACCGTCAAAAGCCTCGCCTTCCAAGAAAACCAACGACAGCACCGCAAGCAAAAACTTCGGATGCGGCTTCATGTCGTTGTCCAGACTTAGCACATACGTGCCGTCAGCACCTTCGTTGAGCAAACAATTGTTCATGTAGCCTGCCTTCGAGTGGTGCGTCTCAGGCTTCATTCATTCATTCAAGTCACACGCGGATAGCCCCGCTCACAGAAGTCGAAGTCATCCGAAAGCGAGACGACAGCACAACCACGACGCTGCACACCCTTGCCACCCTCTTTGCGAAGTCCACAGACAGAGCTGTGCTGGCGACGCCTCGTCTTCAAGCTTTGGTCGTCTTGATCAGGCCCACCACACGCTCGTGCGTGAGTCGCGCAAGATTGCCGCGCAAGTCACCACATATCTCAATCACATTGCTGTTCATCGTCACCTTCAAGTGGTCGTTCGCGTCCCACACAGACCCAGTGTTGCCGTCATCCAGCACAAAGACGTGGACGAGCTCGGGTGCATACTGCAGCGAAAGACAGATCTTCACTGTCTGCATCAAACCCGCGACCGGTTCCACGTAGTGATACAAAAAGATGTCGACCGTCGGCCGCTGTTCCTTGAGAATAGGCGGCTTGAAGTCGTTCGTGCACCGCGCACCACCACGAGTCGGACGCCACATACTGAAGTCGGGCAGCAGTCCCAAAAACAAAGTGAGACACTCGCTGAAAACCATCATGGTGTACATGGCCCACGACATAAACGGCACGTTCCGGATACAGTATCCATAGCCCGAGTCTGCGTCAAAATGGACCCTTCGAGCTGAAACGCCCGTCCGTCTCACTAGCTGGCAACGTGCGTGTCGCACGGTAGCGTCGGCCGCGCCTGGTCACAAAAGTACTGCTGCAGGTACATCGTCGTCAAGTAGTGCAGCCAAACAACACCCGTAGCCGCCGTGCCAAAGTACAACGCGCAAAACAGGTCACTGCCCAACTTCTTGTACTTGCACACGTCTGGAGTCTCAACAGGCTCCGCCGCTCGGTTCGCAATCGAGTACGTCGACGTGACGACCGACCGAAACGACGGCTCGTGGTAGTTGCGGACCCCTGCAATCGAGTCGCAGTATTCCCCATCTTGCCGTCCAGGCCGTGCACGCCACAGCCCATCAAGCGGACACGGCGGCCACTGCCCTTCATGCTCGCACCGCCTTCTTCGCGTGCTTCGGGTCCACAAACGCCGTTGTGCTGAGGCACGTGCGACGTACCACTTGCTGCCACTGCTCCGACGATTGGCTCTTGCTGTGCATCGCACCTGACCGTATCTTCTCCTGCGACATGCGGCTCACGTCCGTGTTCGCGTCTTGTGACGGCGTCGCTTCGCCGCCTTCCGTGCAAACGCAGTGCCACTGGCCACCGTCGCAATGCACTTCTCACACACACGAACGTCTGCGCGCCCGCGTCCATTCCCCGAAGCGCCGCCGGGCCGTCGTGAGGGATCGACTGGTAGGCCGCGTCCGACCGGACAGCGCTCGAGGCCGTGCGCCGCCGCAAGTGGCCGAGAGGACGACGCACTGCATGCGGTAAACGGCGCTCGAGCAGACGGCAGTGGGGCGGGAGAGACCCCACGAGGAGCGCCCGCAGAGCGCCCGCGCCGCCGTCTGCTGCGAAGGCGACCGACCGCTCGTTCGCGTCGGTCGGCCGCGTGAAAACGCGCGCGAACGAGCGCAGCGACACATCCCGTCCTGTGATTCGACGAAAAGAAGCACACAAACGCACCAATCACAACGCTTCGAAACACAAGCGCGCTCTTCGTACCACTGTCCGCCGTCTCTGTTCACGTGGCTGTGTCGACTTTGCAAACATAAAACGAGTCGATCGTCTGCGATGCTCCTGAACAAACACTTGTGCGACTTCACAGCTTTGGTCGATCGTTCCCAGTCAACGATCAAAGGGCTCAAACTGCACGTCGGTCCGTTAAGACACTGCGTCCTTTTCGGCTCTTTACTATCCGCAGGTGGCGCTCCGCCACGTTCGCTTCAGCATTCCTTGACCTTTTCTCGTTCGGGTTCGTCTCCTTAAACACGGCCTCGGAGTTGTTGGCGCTGCTGCTATGCTGCAAACTCTGCTAGACAATAACGCAACCTGTTCTTGTCGCTCCACAACAAGTCGACTCGCGCATCAATGCTCGTTCGCAGATCGCTGGACGGATGCTCGAAAGATGAAATGGCACACCCGAGCGCGAACAGCTAACTTCACAGCGGTCGGTTCGAAGAACAACTTGCAGCATGTAAAACAGGTCATCAACGGCGTCACACCCGACTTCTATGCACACGCCGCTATGGACACTGCTTTGTGCCTCGCACGTAGCTCCATGCATCAAATGCAGCTCAAACATCGCCACTGTCCTTTCAAACAGCCCTCAGCCACAGCAAACCCGTGTGGCAATCGCAGCCTGAACGAATTGGCCAGCACGTATCACGTGGTTGTCCTCCTGTATGCCATCCAACGTCTGTTCTTTCTCCATGAGGATCGATGCTCTCGATCATGCCACTGTCTTCATCCTAGTCACCTTCATCGTCGTCGTCTTCGTCTCCATCTTCGTCGACGTCTGATCTTCCCGCAATCGCTGGCCACTTGTTTGTAGCACTGTCTGCGCCACCTCGTCGAACTTGCACTCGAAAGCGTCTGGTCGCATCCGAGCTGCCTCATTCGTCCTGCACCTTGCACCAACTTGTCCTTCGTGAGTTTGTGTGCAAGTGTTATACCAGCGGATGCATCTTGTAGTAGCTTCATGTCTGACCCTCGCGAGCGCGCTTCGTCAAAACTGGCATACGTCTCCTTCTCCAGCAGCGAAGACTTTTCCACGGACAACGTTATCCTCCGAGCCTCCTCTACCATCATCCAGCAGTTGCGCTCTTATCGGCCATCAAAGTACGTCGCGCCAGCAACTACAAAGCCGGGCTGCTTGAGAAAACGATCCGCTGCTCCGTTATTTGTCGTACCGCTAGAAACGCACCAGTGTCGATCAGACGCTGTGCGTTCTTGTCCATGGCGAACAACACCATCTTCTGCCATGGTGTTGGTACGCGGATCGGTCGGACCGGGAACAATCACCTCCTAGCAGTGCGTCACTTGCAGGATCTAGTCAACCGCTTTTCCGTTTGTGCTTCGAAGTGACGGCTCCTTCGGCGCTTGTTGTGCCACTGACAGCGGAAGCAAACGATGATTGTCGTTCGTGCCTGAGAATTTGATCGTATTGCCTCCTGCAGCAAGATTCCACGCTGTCCGGGACAATTGTTGCGGGTACTGCTGTGTATAGGTTGGAAACACGCAGGTGTTCGGGTAAACGTTTATCGATTCCATGCAGTAGTGGTAGACTCGACACAACGTCTCGGACTGTCGACTGTCGGTAAGACGGATGTGCCGCACATTGCACAGAGCCATTCGGTCATTGCCATTCAAGCCTTGCTCGACACTAGCAAAAAAAGAGCCATCGATCGTACTGATGTTCCTGCCCCGAGATGCCCAAGCTGATGAGCACATGGAGAGATTGTAGATGTTGCACAACGCGTTGAACACAGGCACTTACTTCACTTGACTGTACTGCGTCGCTCGCACATTGTACAAAGTCAGCTGGAAGTATCACACGTTATGCTTCCTACAACACATGCAACACAGAGTGTCACGTAACTTTGTTTGGAATACAATGCTCGACTCGAGTCTAGAAACGCTAACGTGACTGCGTCACTGCAGATGCGGGATCTCCGACTACGACTTCTGCGTCTACGGTCGTCTATCAGCACCTTGTGGTATGTAAATGACAGCGTGAGAACGTACATTGGAATCGACCACTAGCAGCCAGACTCGACTACTGCAGTCATCACGCCGTCTTCTTGATCAAGTGTTTGCTGACTCGCGCAACAGTGTGCGTTGACTGTCCTGCTATTAATGATCACTTTGATCGAGACGCGAGTGCTAGCCAACGTTGGCGACTCGTAAAGTTCGCGATTGTTCACTACATAATCCACATTGGACTGGCACGACCAGACTTCCACGGCAAGCATGTTGGTCGGCGCTCTATTCGCCGACGGCCCATGAGATCGCCTGCTGCGAGTCGCAGCCATACTGTTTGGTGGCAGAGCAGGACGAAGTCGGCGGAGCACGGTGCACATTATGGACAATGGTAAGCAAGAGGTGACGACCAACGTGCAAAAAGCGACAGGTGAGCCGACGTTTCTGCTGCGATCGCTTTTGTTGTTGTTGTTGTTGTTGTCGTTGCTTTTGTAGACGACTGTAGTTTTAAGACGGTACAAACTGATGGAAAAGCTTCTTGCGCTCGCACAACCGTAGCGCCATCGCTGTCGGCGACAACATCGTTTACGTTGGAGGCAATAGCTTTTTCAAAAGCTTTAACGAGGTGCGCGTGTTGCAAAGAATAGTAGAAGAGACGTCAAGTGATTTAGTGTGGACCTGGTTTTAGCCCCTATGGTCGGTACGCCTCTACAAGAGTGCACAGGTCACTCGGCGACGCTTTTCGAAGACGGCTGCAACGACACCAACACCAACACCATCAACAATAACATTTACACCACCACCACCAACAGTCAAACTAACACCATTAGCACCAACACCTTACCACGACCACCACCACCACCACAACAACAATACAACATTATGGCCAACACCATTAGCACCAACACCTTACCACCTCCACCACCAACAACAATCACAACTACAATAACAACATTACAGCGAACTCAAACAACATCTGCACCAACAATACAGCCACCTGATTCGAAAAACTAGTTCGAAGTGCCTGATATTACCGCGCAAAGACTGACACCTCCACTGTTCGTCCTGCTCGGGTCCTCCTCGAGCACACACTATCAGCTCATTAGCAACGGGCTGCCGGCAATTACTTTCCAGTAAGTCCGATGAGGTATGACGCAGACGATGCTGCCATGCCAGTAAACAGAAAGACTGAAGACATGTATGTCTTCGCAAACACCAGCGGCACTGCTTCGAGCATCTGCATGGCAACTTTGGCGGCAAAACAAATCGTAGTCGCAGACTGGTGTCAGCCACCTCGTAGATGTGACAGAGTTTTCCAGTGAGCTCGAACTTATAGACGATAGCGGTAGCAGCATTGCGACGACGCCTCCTTGGGGCATAACGCCGACGAGAGCGTTAGTGCGAAGGCAGTCACGTAGCCCTAGCATCATGTCAAGCTTGTGCTTTGTAAAGTAGTGAAACATGCTCAACTGCCTTTCGACGCAGGGAAATATACAGCGGAACGATAGCTGGCAGCATGAATCTGTCTGCCGAGCCGTCCAGAACCACCTCTAATCAATACACATCGCCACTCTCTTACCTCTAACACGAATAAAACCTACTTACACGGATCAACCCATCACATCTTTTGGTCTCGTCAACTTGATCGCCTCATTTACATCAAATAATGCCTTGTCGCACTTGCCGCCACTCGCGCGCCCGTTTTTTGCGCCATTTTACTCCATTTTCAACTTGGCTCACCGCCGCGTCTCAGGCCACTTCTCTTACAGTTGAAGCAGTCCATTTTGCATATCCACTTCGCTTAACGTTAATGAATGAATCTTTCCATGACCACTCCGCCGCCGCCCCTCGTGCTTCTTTGTCATTTTCACTTCTGCTCTCCAATTCGCAATGGACACCACGGCCACTTTTACGCAGAGCACGTACGATGCAATTTTGCATGCGTACAGTAAGCTCGTGCACGCGAACGACGTGCTAAAGAAGCAAGCCGTTGCGCTGACGCACCTCAGTGCGGTGCAAGCAGACCTGGTACGGGCAGCAAATAAAGAGCGCGACGCAGCCATCGAGTCGCGGCTCAAGATGGAGATCGAAGTACTGGCGCTCCGACAGCGCGCCGAAATGGCCGGAGCCACAAGTGCAAGACCGGAGCAGCAGCTTGAGGAGACCGCTCAAGATCAGCTCAAAGTCCAGCGCGAGTCCGAGTTGCAGCTGGCTACAGGAGAAGGACTCTCAAGACAGCAGTGTGGAGGCGACGGGCGAGAACGAGACACGAATGCAGCCGAAGAAGCGTGAGGAGACAGTCGCAGCGCCCTCCAAGACAAGCACGACACCTCGCAAGAAACCCACAACCGGCCAAGATGAACGCGCTCGTGTGCTTGCAAGTGTCAAGGACGTTGCTACCAGGATGGGCGCTAAACCTACTGCTGGTTCTCGCGCGCGTGTTCGTCCAACGGCTACTGCTCGAGCGCGTGTTGGTGCGACTGCGAGCACGGCGTCCACCCGCGCGCGTGTCGAAGCCACTGCTGCTTTCCGTGCGGCTCTTGCTGCGACTGTCGGCCTTGGTGCTTCAAGGATGCTGTCAGCAAAAGAACTGGCGCGCGTGGAGATTGCAGGAAGTCGCGCCGCGCTGGGCAACGGGTGTTAAACCACACACGTTGCCAGGAGAGGGCAACAAGCTTCCGGGATTGGCGCTCCAGAGACCCATTGCTCTCTGTTGCGTCTACCGGAGCTCATCGCTCACCGAAGGCCCCGGAACGTGGTGCGGTCAAGGCGTGGCAGCAGACTTTGTTCGAGAACGCGTTTGCGATCTGCAATTCTTCGGGGCTCATTGCCCCCGTTGAAGATGTGGAACGTGGCGTGTTTTTGGACGAAGTTGAGCGTGGTGTGCATTCGCAGTGACGGATGAAGACTCATCACTCTTCGTCGTCATTGCGATTGCTTCCTGCGCGTGCTGTTGATGTGCTTGGCGCCTACGTTCTAGAGCGTATAGGTGTCGATAGTCCCATGAAAGACAAGCGAAAACGTAGTTTTTATTGAAGTGAGTAACAAAACAAGTGTATGATTACGATTGCGGTTGGCTTGTTAACGTTCGCCTACTCTTGAGCAAACGTAGCTCCTTCCGTGCTCGTCGATTGCCGTACAGTGTAGTAGCCCATGCTCGAACAAACAAGCAAGCAAAAAACAAATGAGCGCTGTGCTGCGGTATTCGTACTGCTTGCAAGACGTCATAGCAAGGCACGTGCTAGAAGATATGCTTTCTGACAGGTCATCGAAGTTCCAGTGTTCAACTGCAAGACCTGTTACAGGTACGTCGCGATCTCACCTGATTGGCTAATAAGCTGACAGGTAGGACGGAGATGTGACCAGTTAACATATGGTACGAGAGAAGAGGGTCGTCATGTCGGACTATCAGGAGGAGATGATGAGTGGGACAGCGATATCCGGACGACATTGTTTAAGACCAGCAGCACATGGTGATGGGTATGCTAAACGTGTACCAGGTGTAACTTGACTTGATCAAGTGCAAAAGGTATGGTTAACAACCGACTGTAATTTACTGTCCGTATATATTACTTTCACTTCCTACATCCTCAGTACAAGTGCGACCACAACACGTAACGATTCACTGCACGTCCGTCCGACCAAAGACGGGCGAGCAGAGGTGGCCAACGTCGCGTATGCTCCAGTACACATACCATTTGACGCCATTACCACGCGCGGACAAGACACAAGTGCACGAGAGGATGGACAGCAGTGCCCACATCGCAAGGATCGACAACTCGGCATTGACGGCAAACTGTAATGACACCTCAAGTACTAGAGGGAAAGCGTCGACGACAGCGCGCACTTGCGAGCGCGTCTCCGGCTCGCCAGATAACCACACCACCGCTTCTCGTCACCTGCACTCGGCATGCATCGCATCCTGTGTCTCCTTCTGCTCCTTGTCGGCCAAACACCATCCGCGTCTTCGCGACACAATCCGGTTCGTCCGGTTTGTCGCCGCCGCCGGGTCATTCGTGCCTGCTACGATGCCTTGGGCCACCTGGAGATTGCTCGCGTAGTCGACTTGCCATAGCTGCACGAAGACCACACTGTCAACCACGAGCAAA